AAACCATTTCAGGTGACTACCTCTTGAAGCTCATGGAGAGAATGCCAAGAGTGTGCAAAGCAGTAATCAGAGCAAAGGGTGGCTATTTTGAAGAAACTAGAATATAAAACATGTTTTCAGTTATTTCACCTTTTTTTGTTAAGTACATAACTCCACATGTGTTCATTCATAGTTTTGATGCCTTCAGTGAGAATCTACAATGTAAATAGTCATGAAAATAAAGAAAACGCATTGAATGAGAAGGTGTGTCCAAACTTTTGGCCTGTACTGTACATATATATATATATACACACACACACACATTGCTCCCATTTTTCATGAGCTGAACTCAAAGATCTAAAGAAGATCTCATAAGCATAGCTTAGCTCAAGTCAGCTCAAATTCCAATGACTTCTGCTTCCTAGATGAAACTCAATACCTTCTGCATGTTTCACATTCAAAGTGTACAAGGAGCAGTAGAGTGGTGAGTGTGAAATGACTCTTTAAACCCTGAGGAAGTGTTTGCAAATTAAAAGGAAGCAGTCTCTTACTCACACCTGATTCAAACTGTCTATATATAAAGCAGTTATACCTGAGGTTCTCTCCTCCTTCACTACACTCATGGCTGAGTTTGTTTGGCAGGCTGGACACAAAGCTCTTGAGATGAGAATACTCCAGAGCCCTCCATACTTCCTCATCAGAGTAGCTGTCAAAAGGATCCAAGTTCATCCTCAGAGATCCTGAAAACAGCACTGGGTCCTGAGAGAGGGGAGAGGGTCATGTGTCTGTGCATCACATAATGGGACAAACTGTTTAGTCATGTGATTTCTCTGGTGAGGAATAAGATAGCTGTGCCCCAGTTGTGGATCTCTTCCTTAGGAGTGTGCCACCAACGCAGCCCTCAGAGGGACTGGCGCTGCAAAGCTGCAGCTCTTTGCTAAATGACATGCTCTACAGACCCATCAAAGCATCACTGTGAGTTCTGCCCCTCGTGTCTCCAAAACTACACAAGAGACACAGTGGACACATCCATGTCTGCATGTGTCCTACAAATTCCACCAAATAAGGCCACACTGAGAATTGATTCAATGAGGCCATACTCTGTCTTAGGCCCCATTTATACGACAACGATTTCAACTGACAACGGTAAACTTTAGTTGCGTTTTGGCCGATCGTTTACACGACAGCGGCGTTTTGGGTGCCTGAAAACGCAACGTTTTGAAAATGGGTTCCAGAGTGCAACTTTTTGGAAACGGCAGCGTCTCCGTTGTCATGTAAACTTGAAATATGCAGCTCCTCTGAAAACGGAGACTTTTAGCACATGCACATTATGGTTCCAGTCTCTAGGCATGCCGACCGTCACAACAACAATGCCAAGCTCTGTTTGTGCTGCTCACCCTGTTGATTTGAAGTGAAGTGTATATCTGTTACTGTAGCAACTCCACCTCGTCGTCCATCCAGACAAAGTTATCTGTGCATGCTTTCGCCATTGTGTCTTTGTTTTGGTTTGTAATCACCGTGTTGTAGAGGAAGGCGCTTCAGCGCAGGTGCATGGCGTCATGCCGTGGTGTAGCTTTGCAAATTTACACTGCCACCCATTGGCCTGGGGTACATACTACAGCGTTTCCAGTAGATTTTGCGGCTCCGTGTGAACGGGGATCGTTTCAATAACGTTGTCATATAAACACAGAAGTTTTTTAAAATGCAAAGGACAGACTTTTACGTTTTTAGAGAAACCATTGTCGTCTAAACAGGGCCTTAAAATAAGCCCAGTTTCCACCAAACTTTCAGTGTGGTGCCTTTGGAACCAAGAATAACCCTTCAGACATGGTACCTAGACCCTAGGTCTGTTTAGTGTTTCCACCGCAGTACTCCAACAGTACTCCATCCAGCTCTTGTTGTATTTCCTCATCACAGGTGACACAGAGGGAGTTCTGCACCTCGTTTATCCTCCACAGAATGGAGTTGCACACCAACATTTTCAGAACAAAACAGAACAGGCTGCAGTGAGAGTCTCTCTCAATGGGATATTTAAAAATAGCGGTTTTGTGCATTTAGTCCTTCTCAGGCAAGCGCAGGGATTTAGTGTTGCCTTAGTCCACAGGAACAACGCTACACAACACTTTTTTTTCTTCTCCTAATGAGGATCAGAATATATGCAGTTAACATAATCTGGTCCAAATTAATATATATTTCCACTCATTACTAAAAGTGTGTGTCATCCAAGAGAGACAATAAACTAATATAATGGTCAAAGTTGTCATATTGAAATTTAAGGTTTGTTGATGGATTCATTCATGCATTGAGTAACATTACAGGTAAATGTTCCACCTTAAAAGTTGCCTGTAGTTGGCCCAGTGAATTAAGTTATTTTTTTTCTCAGTCTACCAGCCACAACTCAGCCCCGAGCAGCGTAACCATCCTCTACGGACCAATCAACGGACTGCAGTGTTTCTAGCTCCCCCTTTTAGCACCAGATCTCTGTGGTAAGTACCGCAACAGAGGAGTGACCAAAAATGGGAACAGTAGGAATGGTTCCATTGGTACCATCCACAACTTTTCACTGTGGAAACGGGGAAAAATGCATACTGAACTAAACTGAACCGAACCACACTGCTTTATGCAAACAGGCCTTTACAGACTTAAAAGGAGGTGTCCCCTTTCACTTGGGACACAGCTGCTGTGTCTTAAGCTTGGAAATACTGTCATTAACATGATCTGAATAACTGGTGCAGCGATTACAACATTTAGCAGTTTAGCAGGGGCCAGCATTATTCTTAATGCCATTTAACTCCATGTTCTTCTGCGTCCTCTCTGCACTAACCTGTGGAATGATGGTGATTCTGGAACGAAGCTCATGGAGGCCCAGCTGAGTGATGTCCACCCCGTCAATGAAGATGTGACCCTCTGCTGCCTCGATGATCCGGAACAGCCCGAGCGTTAGGGAAGATTTCCCTGCTCCGGTGCGCCCAACAATGCCCACCTTGTGGGTAGATGTAGCGGCAAATAGGCCATAGAAATACTGTACACATATACTGAACAAAAATTTAAACACAACATTTTTGTTTTGCTTCTATTTTTCACAAGCTAAAGAGCAAATACGTTCTTCATGTACCCAGTAGATATATTTCTCTCAAATTTTGGTCACAAATTTGTTAAAATACGTGTCAGTGAGCACTTCTCCTTTTCCAAGATAATCCATCCACCAGACAGGTGTGGTATTCAACATACTGATTAAACAGCATGTTGGATGTACTGCCAAATTCAGGAAAATGACATTGGAGACGGCTTATGGAAGTGAAATGAACATTCAGTTCACAGGAAACAGCTCTGGGGGACATTCCTGCAGGCAGCAAGCCAATGGCACGCTCACTCAAAATTTGTGAAATCTGTGGCATTGTATTGTGTGATCAAACTGCAAGTTTTAGAGTGGCCTTTTATTGTGACCATCCAAAGACACACCTATGTAGTGCGTAAAAAGTTTCCGATCTTTAACTGTACCTGTGCAAAATGGGAGCAAAAACAAGAGTGTTGTGTTTGAATTTTTTGTTTGGTGTATATACATCAACACAGAAGTAATCCACATTCACAATGGCATATAGTCACACTCAATTCCTTGTTGATTCACCCACAGTCAAAATACACACACAGCAGACCACAGCTTTCAGTGTAGTGATGTAAAGGCAAACCTTCTCTCCTCTATTTATACTGATGGTGATGTTGCGAATGGCGAGATCCAGGTCATGGCGGTAGCGCAGGCCAAAGCCTCTGATGTCTATGCAGCCATCAGTGGGCCACCCTGGGGGGAGGCTGGAGGGCTCATGTTTCCACTCTGCCTGGAGTGAAGAAGATACACATTTAAATAAGTACAACCCCCACAACTCCACATCCCACCCCTGCACTCTCCAACACTGGGAAACAGTGGTGCAACAAGTATCCACATCTTTCACTTCAGTTAAACTAGTAATAGAACAATGTAAAAATATTTCAATACAAGTAAAACTCTTCTGTTCAAAATCTTACTTGACTAAAAGTATAATCAGCAAAATGTAGTTAAAGGTTCAGTAGGTAACTTTTTATCATAAATGCTGAAACTGTCACTGTATCCTGACAGCGGTACATGGGACAGATAATCTTTAAAAAAGTCAGGTTCCTCTGGCCTCTTCTAGTTCTTGTGATGGCATTTGCTAGAATCCTCCGCACCTGAACGGGACAACCAATCAGAGCTGGGAGGAGTCTTGAACAGAGTGTCAATCACTGCTCTTGCACATGCTAACTGGGAGAAGTTTCAGCTGGTTGCAATTTGCAATGCTCACCGCGAATACGGGTGGGGCTATTCATCGATGCAATCAACATCATCTATTACGAAAATATATTGATTTGCAAAACGTGCATTGGCTTGTCGAAATAAAGTAGTATGCACCCGGTGAAAACATGGATTCCTCCAGAGAACCAGCTGCAGCTGAAAGCCTCGCCTACAAAGTGAAATCACTTCTCACAGGAGAACAACTGCAGCAAACAGACACTGGAAGTGAAGCATCCCGCAACGCTTTGTCAGGACGACAGCAGAAAAGAGTGCTCCATTTACTTTTTTCCCCACCAAAGCATGAGATATATTAGGATTATCAGCACGCTGAATGTTTTTCTGTCAGTAGTAATCACTTAAATTTTCTGCATCACCACTAATGATACCGCATGCATCATCTTACACTGTTATTCGGCTGTTTTCTATTTTCCGTTTACTTGAACAGGGATACACAAGCAACAAAATGGCTTAAACTAATGAAGAGTAATACAGTGTGCGGCAGCAAAGGCAGAGTAATATGGAAGTTTAATGGTTGAGACGATGTAGTGCCAAAGAAAAGGGCTGTTTGAAGGTGAGGTAAAGCGGTGAAAAAATCCTCAATATAGCATCCACTTGGACTGATATTGATTTTTTTAGGTGGGCATCTTTTAAGGTGGGTAAAATACGTTTCGCTGTCAAACCCCATCCACAACATTGTAATGCTGACCTTCCCTGGTCGGACTCCTGCCTGCTATTCAAAACTGGGGCCGCGCCAACCGTCATCTGTAGAAGGTAATACACTGACTGTACACAGTATATAAGTACCTCATACAGCGCCACTTCAAAAATGCCAAACTTAGCCTTTAACATTTAATCAAAAGTGACTCCTTAAAAAAATGGTTTACACTTGTTAAGTCTAAACCAGGGGTATTTCACTTAATTAATGCATTTTAGACATGTGCTTGCAAAACACAAAAATAGTGGCAGTGACTGACCAGCAGTTTTGAAGTATTATGATTGTTGTTGTAAAGCATTATGAATAGTGTTTATAATTGTAATTATACAGTGCTATATACAGATTACAGTGAATTATAAGTATTTTCATAATGCATTAAAGACATGGACATGATAGGAAGTATTACCAAACTTCCTTGCTGTTATTTGATGTTATTTGAGGTGTTGTGTAACAGTATCTCATGTATATTGTACACAGATAGTAGTTATGTACATAGATATAAAAAAAAGGATTCTAAATCAAGTTCCCTGTGTGTTTAATCCCTGCCAGTCCCAATCCAGCACCATACAGAAGTGAGGAAGAATCAAGTAAATACTCCCTCCACAACCTTGACATGTAATCCCGGAATTTTCTTCTGTTTTTCTTTGTACCTCTTTCTCTGTGTCACTGTACTCTTTAACTTTCTCTACAGCCACTATGTTGGTCTCCACATCAGAGGACATCCTCACCAGCCAGGTCAGAGAGGCAGTTAGCTGCATATGGGACAGAGGAAAGAATATCAGACAATTTGGACAAAAAGGGGTCACTTCACAAGCTCTAAAACCACTAACCTTTTGACCTACCACTAGTATCACCTATCCATGCAAATATGTTTGGTTTTATTTGTCCAGGTTTTCAGATGTCTGTCTCAGATCTCTGCCTCCACCCCAATTCACTCAACATTTTTTCTTAGTGTTATGTGCTGAATTGCTACTGGCAATACTCAGGAATTAATTCTGAAAAAAAAAAAAAAAAATAGAATTACCGCCTCATTGTTGTGCACCTCTGTAAACCAGTTCAGTTGCACTTACAGTTTATGTCCATGTCTGTGAAAACTTGGATGCTTCACACACATCTTTCACCTGGCAGCACATATCTATACAATCAGCACATATCTATACAATCAGCACAGTTTTAAGGTGGACACCCAAGACTGAAGTCACCAATTCAGTATCTGAACAAATGTCTCCCCTTCTGTTCCTAAGATATGATGCTGAATAATGGCCATAAAAGTGTTTCTGCAGAACATTATGGTGTCACAGGGAAGTTGACCTTTGACCTTTTGGACATGACATGTCATCGCATTATGTTATCCTATTTGATGTTTGTGTGAAGTTTTGTCATAACTATCGTATGAATTCCTGAGTTATGGCCTGAGTCACAGTGAGCTTGACCCTTGACCTTTGTCCACCAACATGTAATCAGTTCATTTCCTGACTCAAATTGGATGTTTTTGCCAATTTGAATAAAGTCCCTCAATGTGTTTTTGAGATATCCCAATCACGAGAATGGGATGGATGGATGGATGGATGGATGCATGGATGGAGGGATAGATGGATGGTCGGACAACCCGAAAAACATTATGCCTCTGTCCACAACTGTCGCGAGTGCAGAGGCACAATTTTTTTTTTCTTTGCTGAAACACTTTAGTACTTAAATAATTGAAATAATGCTTTTAAAGAATGAACATTCTGTTACTGACAGGGCAGTCAGGCCAAACTCCCTGTAGTTAATGAGCTGTGAAGTGACTGAAGTGGTCATTCTTTAGTTATTGGGAGCACCATCAGCTGTAATCAAACATCTCAGAGGCTACTCCTGTCCTGCATTTTGCTCAAAGTGGAAGTGATCTGCTTAACCTCTCAGCCTGGACCAATCTGGTAAGAGGTCAGAAAGGTACTGATACAGAAGGTGATACAAAGATGATTCGATGAATGATAGAATTCTATACATTTTTTTCAAACTTGTACAAAGCATCCTATATGATGAAGTGGTTTCTAACCTGTCACTTCTCTGTGCCCCTGAAGAAGATGTGACCTCCAACAGGTATCACAGGTGTGAGGATGAGTGTTTACCTGGAGAGCATAGGAGATAGACAGCCCCATGATGCCTGGACTGAGGCTTTCTCTGGCTATGACAGCAAACAAAGCTGCAAATGACACGATGCAGTTTCCTACAAACTCCAGGCGAACAGCCAGCCACCTAAACACAGATTCATTAACATTATAAGGAAATCACACCACTGCAGGAACCAAGTGGCACATGCAATGCAACTAATGAAGACCAAAAGAATTCTTAAAAATCTCTTTACCTCCTTTATGTTACCTTTATGTTTACCTCACTAAAGACAATACATATTGCTGCAGTAGGTCGTGTGTTTGGTGAGAGTGAATATTAACAGTGACACTAACCTGTTTGCTATGATGCTGGGGTAGTAAGCTTTCTGGTTGTGGTCCACCCGCCGATCACTCTCATGGATGAAGCGCTCCTGTTCACCAAAGGCTCGGATGACGGAGGTGCCCAGCAGTGTTTCACTGAAGTGGGTGTAGATGGGTGAACGACTGATTGACTCCAGACGCTTTAGCTGGCGAGATGATGCCACATAAAACCTCTGGACAGAGGAAGGACAGAGACATCTAACAACTTCAAGCACATCAATTAAAGGGATAGTTCAGATTTTTTTAAGTGGGGTTGTATGGGGTACTTATCCATAGTCCGTGTATTACATACAATAAATGTTAGTCAGCACACCTCCAGTTTGGAGAAGCAGACTGGAGTCCAACATGAAAGCTAGGCAATGTACTGCTGTGGAGAAAATGTATTTTAGCCACCTTAAAAAACAAATCACTATCAGTTTAAGAGTACGCTATACTGTGAGTATTTTCACCGCTTTACCTCATAGCACAGCCCGTTCTGATAGGGAGACTGTTAATGACCTCAGTTCCCCATCTACACTCTTGTCAAAGCCAGACTCCATTGACAAAAACAGTAATTTTTGCTCACTGAATACGGGAAATGCTGCTCTATTGTTGCATCACTCAGTTAGTTAGTGTTATTGTGTGACTTTGGTGAATCTGAACTAACCCTTTCAAACACCAAAGTCAAGCCAACCCTAACCCTAACACAAACAAAATAACTGATAGAGGCTGTGGTAGACCAGCAGCTCCTGTGTTCAGCAATGTTATATCACTGTTTTTCTCAATGGAGGCTGGCTTCATTTTCCTGTTTGAAATCACTGACTGATATTTAAGTAAAGCAGTGAAAACACTCTCAATATAGCGTACACTAAAAGCAGTTCTGACTATTCTAGGTGGGACTTTTTTAAGTGGCTAAAATACTTTTTGTTGCTGACCCCTCAACAGAAGTACATTGCTTAGCATGTCGGACTCCAGCCTGCTTCTCCAAATTGGAAACACACTAACTGCCATCTTCTGTATGTAATACACTGACTATAAAGTACCCCATACAACCCCACTTCAAAAAATCTACTACTATCCCTTTAATCAGTCAGAATTAAATACAGTGCAGTCAGAAGTGGCAGAACAGTGTATGAACATAGACCTTTTTAGGCATAGTCCCCCATGTTTAGAGGACCAAAACATATGGAAAGTGTACGAGGGCTTTCAAACTAACCTGCACAAAAAAGTAGAGCAGACCGAGAGCAGGGATGATGACAGCTACCAGTGGTGTGGCAATCAGGATGATAACACAAGCACCCAACACATTTAACATAGAGCCCATGAACATCTTAATAATACTGGGGATCAATGAGTCAATGGTATCCATCTCCTTGGCAAAGCGGTTGACCAGGTTGCCACTGGGGGTTCGCTCAAAGAAGGACATAGGTGAGCGCAGGACGTCATACAGCATGGACTGATGGAGGTAGCGGGATGCCAGGATGCCCCCGATGGACGTGGAGAGGGAGTAACCAAAGACTGCCACACCTACAAGACAGCAGGGAGCTTTATAAAGTAAGATGATTTGTACATGCTGTGTGAATATCAAACACACAACCACACAATGAGGTCTGAAACATAACCTGCTCTATCTGAAGAGTTACTGAAGTTTCACTTGAATTGCTGCGTCTGAAAACAGTGTGACCTGAACTTAGTGATGGACACAAATGAGCAGCAGTTTCAGATCCAAGTCATAAATCAATCCTTTATTTTTTTTGAGTCCTAAACAAGTCATTATTTTGCTCTCTGATTGACTGCCTCGCCAATGTTACCTCGTCCTCTTTATTGTGTAGTGTGATTGGCTGATTCAAAGTATTTCTAACTGGCTTCCCCTCTTTTTATAACTCCATATTTCATCTTTTGGTTTAAGGAGTATATTCAGTCCTTTGAAGTCAGGCTAAAGTCAGAATGTAGTTACGAGTCATTGGTGTTGAGATCAGTGTGGTAAGTCTTCAATTTAACAACCCAGATATAACATCAGTGGGTGGGTTTACACACACACACACACACACCAACATTCCCCTACTATGGCATGGTCACACATAAGAAAATCTTCCACACTAAACCTTTAAGTTTCTTGGCTAAATGTCTACTTTTGTTCTTGTATTATTTCTGTCTTGTCTATCTGCTTCTTCCTCCCCTTAACCCTCCTCACCCTGGAACAGGCCGAGACCACCGTACACCCCAAGTCTCATTAGTCTGTCGGGCTGAGTGCCATTCACCACGGGGTCGTCAGTCCACAGGCTCAGCCAGTAGTTGGAGAACAGTGAGAGCAGGTGATGGGTGAGGAACAGCAGCAGACTGATGCAGGACAAAGGCACTCCGATGGCTTTTAGATAAGCCCAGAACACAGAGAGTTTGACCTGAGGATGGAGAGGGGAACAGCTGGGACCATCACATATTGCACAAAGATATATGACCATGCTGTGCACTGACATGGTTGAGCATGTTGAGCCTCTACTCACCCGTCCAGTGCTGGCCTTGTCAGCCTCTGTCAGCTTGCCCACCTCAGGGTCCTTGGCATTTTTGCTCAGCACCTTGTCCTCCTTACCCGTCTGGGACAGTTTGGACACATTGCTGGCATCTGGACTGCTGCTTTCACATGGAGCAATAGAAAGAAACACACAGGAGCTTAAAAAAGACAAACAGCTAGTTATAATATATCTCAGTAAAATAAACCACCTCTCATATTAGTCTTGGGTCACTTTGTTTTAAGAGGATGTGTGTCTCAAGCTGCAACCTCCACAGCTGAGCCAACGCCAATGTGCCAAAACCTGCAGTATCTCGAATGGCCATTTGAGGCTGGTTCCAAGATCAAGTCAGTCCCCACTGACCCCCATGTTAAAATGCCCAACTAAACAGCAGTAAAAAACATGTTTACATCCATGACAACTGTACAGGGGGTGAATTTTTATATAACTCAATCATTTACATTTACAAGACTTAAAGTTATGCATAACTAAGGGCGGGTTGCTCTGAGTGACAGGCTTTCTGCTGATAGTACCCTGAACTTCTCAGTCATATCCCCCCTTTGCTCCTCCAAAACTCCACCATCTCACCCAAATATGGTCACCTCTGGCTCCAAAAAACCAAGATTGGGACAGCTCAAGGCTTCAAAACAGGAGTCTACAAGCCAATGAGTGACACTGTGGTAGCTACATCTATTAGTTTTACAGTCTACGGACAGCTAGAAAAAGCCTCTGACTCTGTTAGATGGGACTTTTTATACAGGATGCTGGAACAGTTTAATTTCCATGAGACATTTGTCATATATGCTTTATATAACAAACAGCTACGATCAAGAATAATGGGAGTCGGTCAAACTCTATGACACTTGAACATGGCTGCAGACAGGGTTGTTCCATGAGTCCTCTTTTCTTCCCCATTCTATTGGAAGCTCTAAGCCAAAGCTAAATAAAAGTATTAAAGATATGGACAGGGTGTATAGAAAATGCCACTATTCACAGATAATGCCCTGGTAAATCTGTCAAGACCTACTCCATCCTGCCCTGTGTTTATGTCAACTCTTACAGGTTATGGTCTACATTCTGGCTAAAAACTGAGTGTACAGAAAAGGTTCTTACTTTTAATTACTGGCCAGATTGAGCCAACGGAGAAAGCTATGGAATGAAATCGATTTAGTATCTTGGAGTCAAATTACCACAAGAATTAAGTCAATTAAAATCAAGCATGATCCATTTCTCTCTAGAATAAATTCTGATATTGGAAAATGGTACAATATCTCCTCTAAGCATCACCTCAAGACCTGAGGTGATTAAAATGAATACACTTCCAAGTGTTGGGATTCACAGGACCACAGATGATTTATCATTTGGTAAAATCTAAACTGTACATTTAAAGGCTTTTTCCTCTGCATGCTCTTTGTTCTCCAGACAGAGACAGCTAGGACACCCATCTCCACAGGAGGTCTCACCTCACACCTCAGTGAGACTCAAGTCCCAAAACTTGATTGGACAAGACCTTTTACAGTGACATGTGACTCGGTGATGTCACAGGCATCTGTACCAGGTCTGCTCCCTTCCACAGAACTCTTCTCTGCTCCAACCGTGGAGCAGTGCTCTTCTTGCTCCAGCTGCTGTAGCAGCTGCACACCGCTTCCCGGTTGGGCCTGGACAGCAGAGGCCCGAACCCCTGCTCCATAGCCCAAACCACTAAAGGGAGGGCAACTGATCACAGACTCTCTGGCAAACACAAGGTTTGCAAACTAGCTTTCCAGCAACAAGGAACTAAGTGAGTTAGCACCCAGCGTCTAACTCTGCAAGGACCCCGAGCGACCAGCTTCCTCGGATCAGAACCTTTGGAACAAAGGACCCAGCAAAGACTGCACCTGGAACCATCTTCCCAGCCTTCTTCTGCTGGCTAACAAAGCACCACCACCAAGTGACTCTTTCTTCCATCCACTCAAGGATTGGTAATGTAACAACTGGGCATAGCTTATCACAGCTTTACAGGCTAAGCAAGACTGTTTGACTTGTTGTATGTGATTTGATGCTGTTTACTGAGTTATTGTTATGATAGATTGCAGTTAGGTCATTATTAATTATTAATAATAATTATTAATTATTTCCGATAGCCAATTTAACCCCAACATATTTGGTGCCATCGTGTGAGGCAAATGTATGTTGATTCCCAACACAAGGCTATTGTATCAACTCTGCCAGTGGAAGTAACTGATAAAGATTTCATGTGATAGGATAAAATTCAAGTGGTCCATTGCGGAGGCAACTGCTAGGAGCTATGGTCAGAAGGTTGTTGGTTCCTGTTGTTGCGGCAACTCAGAACCCGCTGGGGGACACCAGCAGTGAGGGAGGCTGTCAGGCTGAAGAAGGAGGCCTTTCTGATCTGGCTGGCCTAGGGGTCTCCTGAAGCAGCAGACAGGTACCGGTTGGCTCAGCAGAGAAGGAAAACTGCTGACCCAAACTCTCACCCATATCCTTAGCAGAGGTCGCTGAGATAGTCAAAAACCTCCCAAGCAGCAAGGCGCTGGGTGTGGATGAGATTCACCCCGAGACGCTGAAGGCTCTGGACACTGTTGGTCTGTCATGGCTGACACTTCTACGGTGCCTAAGGAGTGGCAGACCAGGGTGGTGGTTCCCATTTTAAAAAAGGGGACCGGAGGGTGTGCTTGAACTATCGGGGTATCAGACTGCTCAGCCTCCCTGGTAAATGTTACTCCAGGGTGCTGGAAAGAAGGCTCCGACAGATTGTCGAACCTCAGATTCAGGAGAAGCAATGCGGATTCTGTCCTGGCCATGGAGTAGTGGACCAGCTCTTTACCCTTGCAAGGCTGCTGGAGGGGTCGTGGGAGTTTGCCAATCCAGTCTTCATGTGCTTTGTGGACTTGGAGAAGGCTTACAACCAAGTCCCTCAGGGGCTCTTGTGGGGGGTACTGTGGGAGTACAGGTACCGGGCTCGCTGCTACGAGCCATCCGGTCCCTGTATGACCAAAGTGAGGGCTGTGTCCGCATACTTGGTGTAAAGTCAAACACATTCTTGGTGGGTGTTGGCCTCCGCCAAGGTTGTCCCTTGTCACCAATCCTGTTTGTGATTTACATGGATCTTGAGGCGTAGCCAGGGGGAGAAAGGGGTCTGATTTGGGGACCTTAGAACTGCATCTCTGCTTTTCACAGAAGATGTGGTTCTGTTGGCTTCATCACACTGTGACCTCCAGTATGCACAGGGGTGGTTTGCAGCCCAGCGTGAAGTGGTCAGGATGAGAGTCAGCACCTCCAAATCTGAGGCCATGGTTCTCTGCTGGAAATTGGTGAATTGCCCCCTCCAGGTTGGGGGAGAGTTACTACGTCAAACAAGGGAGTTCAAGTATCTTGGGGTTTTCATAAGTGAGGGTAGAATGGAGTGCGAGATGGATCTGCGGTTAGATGCAGCTTCTGCAGTGATGCAGGCCCTGCGCCTGTCCATAGTTGTGAAGAGGGAGCTGTGCCGGAGGCAGAGCTTTCAATTTATTGGCCCATCTACATCCCAACCCTCACCTATGGTCATGAGCTCTGGGTAGTGACTGAAAGAATGAGATCGTGGATACAAGTGGCTGAAATGAGTTTCCTCCATGGGGTGGCTGGGCTCAGCCTTAAAGATAGGGTAAACAGCTTGGACATCAGGAGGGAGCTCAGAGTAAAGCCGCTGCTCCTTTGCGTCAAAAGGGGTCAGTTGAGGTGGTTTTGGCATCTGATCAGGATGCCTCCTGGGCGCTTCCCGCTTGAGATATTTCAGGCATGTCCCACAAGTAGGAGGCCCTGGGGCAGACCCAGAACACGCTGGAGGGATTACATATCTCATCTGGCCTGGAAACGCCTTGGGGTCCCCCAGGAGCACCTGGAAAGCATTGCTGGGGAGAGGGATGTCTGGAGTGCTTTGCACAGCCCGTTGCCCCTGCGACCCGCCCCGGATAAGCAGATGAAAATGCATGGATGGCTAGATGGAGGATAAAATGATTTTAAATTTATTTGGCATGATAAGTGACCAGGTATGGAACTCTGCAGTCAACCATAACTAAGGGGAGTTAGCTCTTCTAGAGCTATTATGAAGCCACACACACACACAAAAAAAATCAATTTCTTTAATGTTTTTTTTTTTTTTTAACATAAATTCCTGTCGTGCACTCTATGAATCAGGCTTTGCGTATTGACCAAGCTTTCACAAAGTCGCTAGCTAATGCTAATGTGCAGGAATGTTATGGAACAGTTGTGGAACTATTTGTGTTGAAGGAGCAAAAAAAATAAATAAATAAACAAACAAATCACAATCTGTCATCTCCTGTTACTCTTAACTAATAAATGGCACTTGTAGCACTGTTATATAAAAGCAATATCTGATGAGAGGGAGTGCTGTTGTACTGAATGTCATCATGGCTGTGATCCAGTCATAGTGACAGTAGACATAAAGATTATACTATATTGATTGAGTGAGTTCCTCGTCTTTTTCATCTTAATACATCTCTCCTTTAACAACAAAACACACAATAAAAACCCCTACCAAAACCAAACTCAAAAGAATCAAACAAAAATAACAATGATAATTAAAGCTGCAAGCAGTGTTTGGCGGGACCTCGCACTCGCGCCCGTTTCGGCCCCCAGCTTATGTCGTCACTGTGAAGTATTTAGAAATATCAAACATGTTGCCACAAACATCAGAAAATCCTTACAGAGCTGAACGTTTTGATGTTTGAATGCTTTCTGTAGCTGTAGGTATGGATAAGTGATGTCACGATATGCAAATTAGATGAGTGAATTTATTCCCATCAGATCCCTCGTCCTTTATTTTGAGGAAGAGACAACAAAAACAACACAAAACAAAATAAATTTACTGTGTAAATATGTTCAAAATGTTGTTTTACTGAGATGTATGAAATCCAATATGGCCGTCGCCTAGTGACGTTACAATATGCAAATTAGATGAGTTAATTTAATGCCATGACAAACTTTGGGTCATGATGAATATTTTTCTCATTTACAGTATGCCTTTATCTCTCACCACTTTCAAGCCACAGCCTTTTGAAATGTTGAAATGAAAATGGAATATTTTCCTCAATAAACTCTGGCACCTCAAGGGTTAAAATGGAGATTGTGCCCCTGTCATGTCTGCATGTAAGATTTAGACACACACACACATCATGTTTCTGTGAGTTTGTGTGTGACAGCGGTTGCCATGGTGATGAAGTAGGTGCACCTGGCAGAAGAGCAGAGAGAGAGAGAGACAGAACACAGAGAGACCTGTTTTAGTGGAGATTTAACTCCTCAAAGAAGTTCTTCCCATTCCCAAACCGCTGGTCCAATCATCAAAATAATGTGATCATGAGAGAGATAAAGTTATACAGAAGATCTGTTTAGCAGCAGTTGAACTGGTATGTGTGCGTCTTTAAAGCCGATACAATAAACGGTGTAGGAGGAGATGTGTTTTTTTTTTAAGAGCACATTTGAGGGGAAATCTTACTTTGAAAGGGCAAATAGCTCATTTCCTGTTGGATTTAGGTCATGGGTGTTAGCGTGTTATTTGTAGGTTGAACACTCCAGTTTTGGTTTGATCTTGATACGACATTCCTACGGGCTGCAGTGGCCAGTTTAGTGCACCTATGTGGCGCTAGAGAGCCCATTTTGGCACTGTAGGGGTTAATAATGTGTGTGTTCTGTTTCAAATGAAGTTTCTGCTGCTGTAATCTGTCCTTTAAAGGTTGTCAGACAAACAGACCAGAGACCCCTGTGTTAGACGATTTTTAGAGAGCTCTCCACTCTAGCTCACAGCATTCCGTGCAATACACACCCATTGTAAACTGAGAATTTCTCCACTTTTGCTCATGGTACTTTGAGAGGCACAGATGAAAAACGGTAAAAGATATGAAAAAGATGAAAACATGAGTGAATAGATGAGACCTGTGGCAACATTTGAGAGTTGGAATGGAGTCTGTAACACAAAGTATGGAGACGCTGTAAATGCTAGAAAAAGCCCTAAGATTGGTCTCTTTCTCCCCCCTGCTGCCATTCATTTCTTATGGGACAGCTTTCGAAGATCGTCAGGACGTTTTTCTGACATCTCACCTTATGGAGGCCATAAAATCCAAACTAAGCGAGTAATGAAAAAGTTACGAATAACTTTTGATTAGAATGAGTTGATCTGTCATCTGTGCAAGTTTGAAGCCGATTGGATAAGCGGTGTATGAGAAGAAGATTTTTTAGGAAAGGCAGTTTTAAGGCAAAATCTTACTTTGAAAGGGCAAATATCTCACTTCCTGTTGGATTTAGGTCAGGGGTGTCAGTGCGTGATTTTTAGGCCTTCATGAGACGAACACGCCACTTTTGGTTTCATGTTTCTACGACATTCCTACAGGCCGTGGCGGCCATTTTTGTGTGCCTAGGTGGCGCTAGAGAGCCCATTTTGGCACTTTAGGGGTTAATGTCATGATTTTCTAAAATTTTTCAGCGGTTCTGATGTGCGTGCCAATTTTGGTGAGTTTTTGAGCATGTTTAGAGGGTCAAATTCCAGTTCAAAGAGGCGGCGGGAGAAAGAATAATAATAAACGCACCAAAAACAATAGGGTCCTCGCCTTCGGGCTAGGTCCCGAATAATTATTGGGAGACAGTGGGAGTAGAGACTGTTACATTGTTGAAGCTTGATATATCTGATTTCTCTGTGCCATAGAGCTTCAGTATTGTTTTACTCACCCAACACGAGCAGGTGCACTGCTGTTCTCTACTCCTTTGGTTCCACTCCTTGGCACAGACTCTGAATCATGGAAGGAAACAAATTATGTTTTTGTGACAAAGGATTGATCCATAAACAGTACCTGCACCCAATGCAGCAAACTGAGATCCACAACATTGTTAATGTTCATAGAAAAGATTTTCTCATTATCAGCACTGCAGTTAATGACCTCTGCTTGTTGTGACCAAGGAAAAACAACTTTAAAATGCTCTATATTTATATTTACCGCTGAGATCTACAACAGGTGTGTCTGTGTAAAGTGCAGTGTGTTTGGAGTTTGTCTCACGATTGTTGTCAGTGTGGTCAACTGCAGTGTATGTTCGCAGAAACTCAGCAAAGGTTCCCTCTGTGGCCATGAGCTGCTGGTAGGAGCCCATCTCTGTGATCTCTCCCTCCACCATGACCAGGATCAGGTCAGCCTGGGGCAGGTAGCGCAGTCCGTGAGTCACCAGCACACGAGTCTGCACACATTCACACACATTCAACATGCCTGTACCATTTTAAAGTCACTTAATCATTACTGTATTAATTCCAAGTCAGCACGGTTATAATCATTTAAAAACCTTTAGATCTACTGTGTTACCATACACAGATATCAAAAACAAATACTCTACGCCAGACAGATACAATCTGTCCCAGTCACATTTTTTTCCCTTGATCCTTATCTGGTTACTTTGGCACTGATACTGCGGACACTGAGATAGTGGCCTGTTGGTGCACCACTTTGGTCCGGACTGAAATAACTTGATAACTTTTGGATGGATTGTCAAAAATGTTGTACAGAAATTTATGGTGCCCAGAGGGATGGATCCTAATGACTTTGGTGATCCTTTGACTGCTCTCTGGTGCTACCATCAGGTAGACATTTGTTTTGTCATTGAGATATTTCGACAACTTTTGGATGGATTACTGTGTATTTTGTTTTAGACATCTGGAAAAGGAAATGGTTGACTTTTCTTCTAGTGTCATTATCATCACCAGGTCAGAATTTCTGTTTATCCAAAACTTTTAAAGTGGAGATGATACATGAAACAATATGACAGTGGTTTGTCTGGTCTGCTAGTAAGTATGGACCGTTTTGAGTGATAGGCTGTCTGCTAATAGTGTCCTTGGCTTCTCAGTCGAATCTATTCTTCACAGCTCTGGCCTCTCATCCAAATATGGTCCACTTCAACTTGATTGATTGACTGTTGTCATACAATGAACCTCCCTGTGCTGCTTTAGGATGGCCAAGCTTGAGATCATACACACCTTGTCCTTCAGCAGTCCCTGTGGGCCGATGACGTGATCAAAGATATGTTTTCCTACGTGAGCATCAACGGCAGACAGCGGGTCATCCAGCAGGTAGACAGCACGGTCACAATAGACAGCCCTGGCCAGGCTTACCCTCTGCTTCTGACCTCCAGAGAGATTCACTCCCTATACAGAGAAGACACAGATACAGGTAGAGGTAGAAGCAAGGCAATGGTAAATTTCATTTAAAGACTGTTGTGCCTTGTGTGATATCTATGTATGTTTTAAAACTGTACAGAGGGAGCGTTTCATAACATTATCTCTAACAGAGGTTTAAAGACCTGTGATTCAAGTGGGTATTGACCCTTGCTCAATAGCCAAATGCCTCAGGGATGAGTATGTGTCCCTGTAGCTTCACGTAAAGGGCCATAGGCATCGGTAAACCCATGATGTTAACATTATGTCCCAGTTAGGGAGCTTCCATAAAATGCATGTGTCAACAACCAGGCAGGCCCTGCTGGTTGTATCAAAAACTGCTGTCAGCTTTAAAGCTTTCTACCTTTTTGATCCCACCACAGTGTTTTAAATGCAGACAACTTAGTGAGATACTCTACATCTGTACCATTCTACAGATGCACAAACTATGTGATCTTGAGTTGATACCTTCTCTCCAATCTCTGTCTCGTCTCCAGCAGGAAGGATCTCAAGGTCAGGCTGAAGGGCACATGCCTCCACCACGCGCTGATACCAGGCCTCTCTCCTTTCCTGACCAAATATTATGTTGTCTTTCAGTGTGGAATTCTGGATCCAGGCCTGCTGAGGAACGTAGGCCATCGAACCCTGCAGGGTGGCAAACACCAGCACACACACACTGTAAATTTCATGGCATTCCAGAGTTGGTGATGAGCAGTAAGACAGAGCGCAATCCTGCTCTGCAGCGGATGAACCACTCTTACGTCCCCACAATCCATGGGTGTGCTACACTGTGGAGAGCTCTTAGATAGAAACGATCCTAGCCACTCTAATGGAAAAAGTAGTATGATGTCATAACATACAGTGTGTTTGTATCAGCACCCCCTCAACTCTGCCCTGCACCATCACTGGTAGCTAGTTAGCGTTAATCGTGTGAGCTGGCCAAACTACCAAGTTAACCTGTTGGCTGCTGTCTAGTTAGAATCAGCGTTAGTTTCAATAAAAACTATGATGAAAATGAGACAAAAACTAGAGACAATCCTCAAATAAAAACTAATACAGGACAGGAAGTGGATTCAAACGCCATTGGTTATGTTGATAGAAGTAGCGGCTAACTATTACTAGAGTGCTTGGACAAAGCAGCAGAAACACCTATACTATTTCCCCCAACTGAGTCAGTGTGATAGTAAGCAATGTGGTTGGTGTGATTTTTGTCTATGAGGGAGAATGCACACAGGCCACACAGTAGTGTGTCTTAAAGCGATATCCATGTCAGCTGCCCCAGTGGGTCAGTCCCCGTACACATGGAAGATATAATCTTATGAAAGATACCATAGACACAATATGGAACCCAGAACCCACACTGTTTGCTCCTGATCGGCCGGTTTAACCTTGCTTACGCAGACATCTTGGACTCTGATGCCTCATTCAAAATCAAAAAACCTAAAACTTAAACCTGGCTCAATAATGACACCTGTGCTCTCAGGCAATTGTTTATGAAAGTAGAGAGAAAATGGAAAAAAGACAGGCTCCAAGACCCATAAGGCACGATGAGACCCTGTCTTGTTAACTATCAGCATGCTATTAAAGCAGCAAGGACAAAGTACTTTGCTGACATGATGAACGCCTTCTCTCCCAAAGTACTATTTGACACAATGATTATAGTCCTTAACCCTGCTGCTACTGCCTGCCCTCTGCAAACCGCAATCACATGATGAATTTGTACACTTTTCACAAGTAATACTGATAACATTAGATCTGCTATTTCACCTCCTGTCTATGTTCTGTCTGTCATCCCTCTCTCCCTCCAAGTTGCCATTTTGGTCATAGACAAAAATGTCTATTCTCAACTCTTGTCCTTTTTAGAAAATAATATAGAGCAATATCAGTCAGGCTTCAGGGCACGTCACAGCACGGAGACAGCTCTACTTAAGGGCTACAATGACCTACTACTGCCTCTTGACTCTGGTAAATGTGCCATACTAACTATTAGACCTTAGCCCCACCTTCGATACAGCTGATTTTTCTATTCTTCTGAATGGTGTTGAGCGGAAGGTTGATATCCAGGGTAGCACCCTCCAGTGGTTTGTCTCCTACCAAACTGATAGATCCCTCTCTGTTAGTATTGGAAACCTCTTTTCCCCGTATCTTCCCATCGCCTGTGGTGTACTGCAAAGCTCCATTTTAAGACCCATCTTATTTGCCGTAGTCTTCCAGGACCTGTGCCCTTAAAATCTTCAAAATATTTTACTCCATATTGGAAAAGTAACACACATATTGGTTTCAGTGTGCACTGCTGCTGTGAGCGAGCATCAGTGTGTTTGTGTAGGAGAGCCAGAGCAGCCACCTTGACAGCCACAGTTCCTTCTAGTTTTTCCATCTCTCCGAGCAGGGCAGAAAGCAGTGAGGACTTTCCTGAACCCACGTGTCCCACCACGGCTACCAGAGAGCCTTCTGGGACACACACATTCAACCTGCAGACACATAGGATTATTCAACTCAATTTATCTCAGACTTAATGAGATTAATTTCTTAATTAAAAAAAAAGTACATGTTAATAACTCAATATGTATTGTTTGGATTCTATGGATTATTTTTCTATTTTTTTTAACTGTTCTCTGTAAAGCGTCTTTGAGTATCCTGAAAAGCGCTATATAAATCCAATTTATTATCATAATTATAATTATTATTGTATGTTTATAAATAGTTACATTGCCAACAATTTGTATTTTGTTAGCTAGTGATATTGTGGGAGGAAACACATTAGCAGGATGAAAAGAAGCAACTGAAATGCTTACTTATGGTAAGCTGACAATGTGTATGACAATATGATACCTGGCTGGCTTCCTTGGGAATTTTGTACTAAAACAATTGTAACTTTTGAAAGAATCCACTTGATTTGACTCACTCAGACAGCTGAAACCTCATTTCAGATTTGGCAACTTCATTGTACATATGGGCATGTGAGTACTTTTTAGAAATGGACTGGAGATGTCAATGGTGAACTATAGAGATTTTTTTTTTTTTACCAGTTACACATGTCGGTTGATTTTGCTTCTTTTCTTCTTTTAGTTATAGTACTAGCGCCATGCTGTGCAATGTTGATACATTTGGTAACTTTTATAAAAATAACTTTTTCTCATATGTGCTGAAACTCACTCCTACACAGTAGCACATGAGACAGTCTGTGAAAAAAAATCATGTTACATGTGGATTCTTTTTTTCACAAGCTGTCTCATGCTACTGTGTGGCTATGGTGATAGTTTCAGCACATATGGGAAAGTTACTGTATAAAATGTAGCAATGTGGTAAAAAGTACAGCTTTAAGAATAACATTATTAAGATATTGATGCTACACTGGTCACCTAGCCTTGCCCACTTTGCACTTCACAACCTCAGGTTTGGTGGGAGAAGCACCATTAGCAGCATCAGCATGGCTAGTGGTGCTACCATATGTTAATTAGTAATGCTAAAGGGATTTGCCAGCTAGAAATTAAGCCGCTTACTCACCAGGGCTACCTGGAGGGAGACAGTAGGGTGACCACCATGTTTCCTCAGCAATGCCATCCCACCACTATGGGTCAGGACAGCATTACCAGCTGTAATTGCTGAATGGACAGCACTACTACAGGGCTTGACGCTAACTTTTTTCCAAGGAGCACATGTGCTCCTAAGTTGAAAAAGTAAGGAGCGCACAAAGAACTTTAGGGGCACAATGTAAATTGATCAAATAATGTGTTTTCCGTAATAAACGTGATGCAAATAGACATTTACAAGCAAAATTATGTAATGAATTTGTATACAAAATGTACAGAAAAGTAAAATCATCAAGTTTTTAATTTTGTCTTTAATGTTATTATCTTATATATATTATCTTTGCAATATGATTATCTTATATAATTATTAATTATAGTTATTACTATCCTAAAACATTCTCCAGGTCCTCTGAAACTCTGCAGGACTTAAGCCTCTTTCACACAGAGCTTTCGCGGCGCCCACCGCGGGGTAGGGCGCAGAGGACAGGATTTGGGGGAGTACAGGCTCGTTCAGGAGCTACAGCTCCATGGTGACCGCTTCCGGGTCTACTTCAGGTTCTTCTCTGCTATTGGACGCGCGGTGCCGAGGTGTCGTCACAGCGCGTTGTGGGGAAATTAAAAAAAATTTCAATTCGAGCGCAGGCTGGCAGCGCGCAGACGCCGCGACATGCGCCCCCCTTGCGCCGCTCAGCTCGGCGGCAGAGCAGTGCGCTCTTGCGCCGCGGTAGCACATACACAATGAATGGGTTCGTCGGCAGAGGTCTGCGCTTTGCGCGCTCTGTGTGAAAAAGGCTTTATTTCCACCCTGCCCAGCAGCGGTACCGTGGTGAACAGTCCCTAAAGGCCTCTACACATGATCAGCTGTAAAACCCCTTTGCGCTGGCTGTCCCATTGTTTGTCTATGGAGAGGGCAGCAACGCCTGACAAAGCGGCACCGCTACCCTTGGCATCGCGCACCGCTCCGATTTTCCACCCAAGCGCTGCGCTCAGAGTTGAAATTATTTGAACCACGGGGAGAACGGAGCAAGCTTCCCCGGAGATCCACCTGGTCCATCTCCTCCACACTTTGACTTAGGCTATTTCCACGCTGCCGACAGTGGGACTTATATTCATTGTGCCGACAATGGCTTGGAAAACCGCCCACAACCGTATCACACGGGGAAGAGGGAAGAGGGAAGGCAGCTGGAGTTCCTCCAACATTTGCGGTTAGATTATCATATTTTTTTATTGACAAAAATACAGGCTGCTTCGGCTGATTTTTTCATGCGCACATGTGCCCCTAAATATTTTTTACAGTTCGCACACACCTATTTTTAGTCACAAATGCGAGTGAAACGCTCGCACTGTCGAGCCCTGTACTAGCTAGCTCCCACGCATAATAATACCGCTAGCCGCCTATCTGAACTCTAAATGCATAGCGCTTAAAAATGCTGCACTAAAGCTAACTGTGTTAATGGAGTGCCAGACTAAAAGGAAAGTGCCTCTTGTATTTCACATATTTTATCTTTTTTTTTTTTCTCGCCTAAAAAATTATCAGATATATGAGCACTTAATGGGTGACGGGCTTTCAAAAGCAAGATTAAACTAAACCGACATACCTACGATGAACATTTAAAAAAACTGTGAACCTATCCTTCAAATGAAGTGTGTAAGCCTGTAATTTGTACATTACATTTTTGTTGTTATTATTTTTTTCTTTTATGTAAATGCACTAAAGCATCCTGAGGAAAGATGACATACCTGTTCAGTGCCGGTGATTCAGCTCTAGACCAGCTTAAAACTCCATCCACAATGGAAATACTATGTGGGACTGGGAGGAAGAGAAAGGAGGCATATTAATATACTGTGTGTGAAATACCTCCATATACAGTACAGGCCAAAAGTTTGGACACACCTTCTCATTCAATGCGTTTTCTTTATTTTCATGACTATTTACATTGTAGATTCTCACTGAAGGCATCAAAACTATGAATGAACACATGTGGAGTTATGTACTTAACAAAAAAAGGTGAAATAACTGAAAACATGTTTTATATTCTAGTTTCTTCAAAATAGCCACCCTTTGCTCTGATTACTGCTTTGCACACTCTTAGCATTCTCTCGATGATCTTCAAGAGGTAGTCACCTGAAATGGTTTCCACTTCACAGGTGTGCCTTATCAGGGTTAATTAGTGGAATTTCTTGCTTTATCAATGGGGTTGGGACCATCAGTTGTGTTGTGCAGAAGTCAGGTTAATACACAGCCGACAGCCCTATTGGACAACTGTTAAAATTCATATTATGGCAAGAACCAATCAGCTAACTAAAGAAAAACGAGTGGCCATCATTACTTTAAGAAATGAAGGTCAGTCAGTCCGGAAAATTGCAAAAACTTTAAATGTGTCCCCAAGTGGAGCCGCAAAAACCATCAAGCGCTACAACGAAACTGGCACACATGAGGACCAACCCAGGAAAGGAAGACCAAGAGTCACCTCTGCTTCTGAGGATAAGTTCATCCGAGTCACCAGCCTCAGAAATCGCAAGTTAACAGCAGCTCAGATCAGAGACCAGATGAATGCCACACAGAGTTCTAGCAGCAGACCCATCTCTAGAACAACTGTTAAGAGGAGACTGCGCCAATCAGGCCTTCATGGTCAAATAGCTGCTAGGAAACCACTGCTAAGGAGAGGCAAGAAGCAGAAGAGATTTGTTTGGGCCAAGAAACACAAGGAATGGACATTAGACCAGTGGAAATCTGTGCTCTGGTCTGATGAGTCCAAATTTGAGATCTTTGGTTCCAACCGCCGTGTCTTTGTGAGACGCAGAAAAGGTGAACGGATGGATTCCACATGCCTGGTTCCCACTGTGAAGCACGGAGGAGGAGGTGTGATGATGTGGGGGTGTTTTGCTGGTGACACTGTTGGGGATTTATTCAAAATTGAAGGCACACTGAACCAGCATGGCTACCACAGCATCCTGCAGCGACATGCCATCCCATCCGGTTTGCGTTTAGTTGGACGATCATTTATTTTTCAACAGGACAATGACCCCAAACACACCTCCAGGCTGTGTAAGGGCTATTTGACCAAGAAGGAGAGTGATGGAGTGCTGCGGCAGATGACCTGGCCTCCACAGTCACCGGACCTGAACCCAATCCAGATGGTTTGGGGTGAGCTGGACCGCAGAGTGAAGGCAAAGGGGCCAACAAGTGCTAAACACCTCTGGGAAGTCCTTCAAGACTGTTGGAAAACCATTTCAGGTGACTACCTCTTGAAGCTCATGGAGAGAATGCCAAGAGTGTGCAAAGCAGTAATCAGAGCAAAGGGTGGCTATTTTGAAGAAACTAGAATATAAAACATGTTTTCAGTTATTTCACCTTTTTTTGTTAAGTACATAACTCCACATGTGTTCATTCATAGTTTTGATGCCTTCAGTGAGAATCTACAATGTAAATAGTCATGAAAATAAAGAAAACGCATTGAATGAGAAGGTGTGTCCAAACTTTTGGCCTGTACTGTACATATACAGGAAAGGGGATCTACACATGATGTGGAAATGTACAACTGTGGGAAAAGAGAGAGGGCACAGCAGACAAAGCAACAGAAAGAACAGCAGAAGATAAAAACTCACAGCCTGCTACTGTTTTGTGCTCCACACTGTCTTCCTGCAGCTCCTCATGAGAAAGAAACACTCTCAGCCTTTTCAACGACACGCTGGCCTAAAGATTAACGCAGAGGGAGGAAAACCCACAAACACCAAGGGCCAGATGCATGAGACTCTGTGTAGATTCATGACTAAAACTGTGTGTGTGTGTGTGTGTGTGTGTGTGTGTGTGTGCATAATTACAAAAATGTGCATACCCTTTCTTTTCATCAGATTTATAAAGCCCCATGTACACCTGATTCTGTTTTATAAATCTCAAAAATTGTAGAACCAGATGCATTTGCACGAGCGTGGTAGAAAAATATTATACACGAGGGAATGAATGATTTGTGCATTGTCATGGTTTAGTATTTTGAGAGAGTGCTTCACACTTGCTTTATGTAAAGAGGCTCTGGTTGTCTGAAAGTAAAGATAAGATGAAGACCTTTCAGATGCTTCAACTCCCATGATAAAAAGGATGATTAAGTGTCTTACCTCCCATTCTTTCCTCCCCAGTATCTGCATGGGGAGGGAAGAAAGTTGTTCTTTTGTTTTGTAATTTAGATGAACCATTCCCCCTGCCCTGGATTCAGGAGTCCTCATTCATTCATTAATTCATTATCAGTGGCTGCTTACCCTGGTACAGGGTTGCAGCGGGACTAAAGCCTGTCCCAGCTGATGATGGGCAAAAGGCGGGGTACACCCTGGACAGGACACCAGACTATCACAGGGTTGACACATAAGCCTCTTTTACACTGCCCCTTCAAGGCAGGAGTTTCACGCCATTATGCCGCCTTGCTGTTCTGTTTAAAAGGTACAATCGCCAACTCTGGGGGACAGAGTTGCCTTGCCTTTAAGCTGGTAGCAGGGGTAGTAACAGCGCCGAAACAACCATCTGTGGGAAAGGGGTCAGCCAGCAGGATGGGATCATGGTCAGCACAGGCATAAAATTTTGACGACATGTTATGCATGTGACCAACCACGGGTGATTTATAAAGCAGCTGATAGCAGTTAGCAGCTAACTCAAAGAAGAATTATTGTGGCTGAAAATGCCCACAAATTGTGAAAACAATAAAGTCCAGGAGCTCCTTACCCTCCTTACTGGGAAGAAAATGATTACTATTGTCATGGAAATGCCATTGTTATTGTTTATAAAGTGCTGCTGACTCGTATGTTACATGTCGCACTAGAGACAAACGCTGTAGTGTTACATCTGTGTCACACCTCCTTTGGTAAATGGACTTGCACGTGTATAGCACCTTTCTAGTCTTCCTACCACTCACAGCGCTTTAACACTGCGAGTCACATTCACCCATTCACACACACATTCGTACACTTGTGGCCGAGGCTACCGCACAAGGTGTCACCTGCTACTTAGTTTTTAGACATTCTCGCTGATGGCACAACCATCAGGAGCAATTTAGGGTTCAGCGTCTTGTCCAAAGACTTTCAGATGTGGACTTAAAGAGTCGGGGATTGAACCACTGATCTTCCAATTAGCGGATGACCCAGCTAGCTCTATGTCTCCTGAACCCTCATTTAAAGCAATGTGAAGGCTTTTCATCTTTACATCTGAGTTCTAAGACCCAAGTAAAACACTGGACTTCTTCCATACCTTTTTTTTTTTAATTACCAATTGAATATCAAACATGAAAGGAAATAATACACAGTGGAACAATGAAGACAAGTGAGTGTGACTGAGTGCTTAGCATGGGAATAGAGGCACACTAACCTGCACCATACTACTGATGACCATTGGCAGCATGTTGAGAGGAAAACGCAGGATGTTGAAGAGTGCCAGTGACACAAAGGCCTTCTGGGCATCTAACACGTTTCGTTCGTCAATCAGTACGTACACAGAAAACGTGGACAGGGCGACCTGTACAGTGAACCAGCAGGAGGGACAAAGATCAAAGGGAAAGAAAAAGATCTTCATGAGATCACGGTCCTTTTTAATGTACTCTAAAAATGTATGCTTTTATATGCAGAAAATGAGAAGTTATTTTCCCTACAATAGAAGTGCAGTTTGTTTAGAATTTTTAGACACAGTGCTTGCTTGGATGTCTGTACTATCTGTGCAACATGATGCCATGTCCAGAGGATGAGATGAAACAAACTACGCCCTTCAATTGCAGTGCATGTCTGACCTTCTGTGCTGGACTCACCAGGAAAGGTGTGCAGACCCAGGTGAAGGTGGACATTGCACCCAGGTAGGCAGCCTTCTTAAGGACTTGCAGCTCACTCTCACGGATTTTTGACACCTTGTCCTTGAAGGCCATCTCCCAGGCATACAGTTTAAGCACCTTAATGCCATTTAGCATCTCATTCATCAGCTTAATGCGACTGTCCTTACTCTTCATCTGAGCCACCTGCTCAACACACACGCACGCACAAAATCTTTAAAGGAACAAATATAATCAACACATTGCTCCAAACTGACACAAGGTTAACTATGGATCCTCAGTGCTCACAGCTTGGTTGAAATAAGACCTCTTCATGTGTTCCATCTGTGTGTATGTATGAGAATAACAGGTGATGTGTTGGATATGACCTCACTGTCACTGAACACATAACCTAACACCATGCACAGGACATGGGTGACAATGTGTGTCTGTGTAGAAGTCCCACCTGGTAGGTTTTGGTTTTCATTGCGATCACAGCATTAACAGGAACCATCAGAACCATCACAGCCACTCCAGCCAACACGGATGGACCCAGGTTCTACACAGCAACAGATGAAAAAACAAAAAACAAAACAAAAAAAACCAAACCATTAAGTAATGCAGTTTGCACTCTGAGATTCCTCTATTTTCAGCAATGCTTTGCAATTTCAGCTGTCAACATTAACACGTATATGCAGGAAATGCATTTTGTAGTTATTATTCTCATTGTGCATATACATTTACTACATCCCTGTTTACATTCAGTTTACATTCAGTTTATTCATTCGCAATTCCATCTACACAAAATTTTATATTTTTATTTGTTTACATTTTAGCCCTGTATTTGCAGCTTGCAGTATTTTGTTTCATAGATTCAGATTTTGCTTTTGCGTCATTTGCTTTTTTAAAATATTCATTGAGCATTGTTGGAGGGTGTCTGGGGCATAAGATTTTCATTGCTTCACTTTAATCATTGAGCACGTGATAAGGATACAGAAGTTGAACCTCTTACAGATGGTTTGCTCTGTTACTCATCATGCTGTACATACATGTACACACAGACATGAAGCTCATGGAGCTGTGACAGAGGCATAACATGACATCTCAACTGCTCAACAGTTGTTAAGCTTTTCCAGTTTCCAGGTTCAAAGTGTTCCAATCTCATTAGCTGTCTACAAAGCTAATCGCAAAATGGTAATAAAACCAACCAAACTGTGTCCACAGCATCAAGCGCTGAAAACTTTGAACAGATATTTCCAGATGTCCTAAACTGCCAACTGTATATGATTTTACTTCAGCAAAGTTCTTTCATGGGTGCTTGTGCTGATCTGCTGTGTTTGTATGGGGTCAGATCAGTCTCATAATGAATGAACTCACGCGGGGTTTTTCACGAATGCACATGCTCTGGTTCGCAGTTGTATTTCGGACTCACTAATGCACACGATCTGTTTCGCAAATGCACACGCTCTGGTTCAATCTGTCAATCAAATTTATGATTCTGACTGACGTATTCATCAGTTAATCAGGTGTGTTCGCTTTCAGCCAATCGTATGGCTCTTTATATTTTCTCCACACTTTTAAACCAATCGCAGAGCTACTGAGCTACTGTTTGCAGTGTTCAAACAAGACACGCTAGACTGAAACGGTGGAAGAGACATGGATCAATCTCAACCTGTAAGTAACACATTTATCTTATTATCCCCTCGTTGTAAATCAAGCAATGTTATTGGATTATAATGAGTTGAAGCGTTCTGCTTGGCCAAGTAACATGTTTGAATGAACATAAACTATGAATACAGCCTTCCCGCCTTTCTGAAAATTGACCTCCACTCTTCTTAATGGCAGGGTTTCCCATTTTTTCTAAAGCCCCCACTATTCCCCATATTGGGGACAACCCTCCATTCCGAAACCCCGCCGTTCCAACCCTCCATTCGGAATGGAGGGTTCGGGGGGAAAGGCGGGAAGGCTGTATTCATTTCTAAAAGTAAAGTAGCAAAAAGGTATTGTCTGGTACTCTCACTACTATGTTATTGCACCAATGTGTCTCTCAGCATTCAGCTGTACACACATATTTTATATGGTTCAGTTTTTCTGTAGTAGCTCTGTTTTTTTCTGTAGTAGCCTGCATAATGTCAATCTAAAGCAGCAGTTTATCGATGGCCAACCTGAAGAAATTACCCCGTTACTGCAGGCTACAATTACAGGAGTTTATGTTGGCTGTCCAAAATCTACTCATGTGAGACTAGAGTCCTGCACTGGGTCAGGTGCCTGTGGGTACTCGACGGGTAACCCGCAAAAAGCTGTGTAACGGGCAAAAATATGCATATATATATATATTTAAATCCACAGGTACGGGCACGGGTAAAAATGAACTACATATGGGCGGGTAGCAGGTGAGAACAATTTTGTAAACCCACCTGCCAGAGAAAGTAGAGGGCCAGTACCACCTGCAGAGGGGCGGACCATACCATGTTGATGTAAGTAATGAGGTCCATGAAGCGCTGAGCGTCTACTGACATCAGGTTCACCATCTCGCCCACTGTGGAGGTGCGGCGTGCTGCGTTGCTTATAAGCAAGGCCTGTAGATTCACATCAAAAGCATGCACATAACTGAGCAGGAGAATTATTGAACCATGAATTAAAGAATGTTAGGGAGGAATGAAGAGTACCTGGTCTCATACACCTTATTGCTTGTTACTTAGTCTGTGCTTTTGCATCTTTCTTTGTCTTATTTCCATAGTTTTTACCATAAGCAGGGAGAATTTCTAAAATGACTTGCAAGTACCATGTAGATTTGCCTGTACCTTCCTGTAGACAGCTCCGATGATGGCAGTGCGCAGACGCATGCCTGTGACAAAGCAGACATGAAAGTACCTCTGCAGGATGAGTGACTGCACAGAGGTACATATGAAGAGCAGAGCAGTGTAGAAGTAACCCTGCCAGGAGGGAGCACTGGAGTTGTTGACAAAGCGGATCAGCAGCCTTGACGGGATAAGTGAAGAAAGCCAACATTAGGGACTGGTTTGCACCAAGCCATAATACAACCACTAACAACCTGTTGTTTATCTGATCTTTACAACTTTTTCAGAGATTATTTCCAGCTTTGTCACAAGTCTAGGGAAACATTATTGCTTATTATAGGACAGTTCATTCTATGCTTAACGTCTGTGTATTTAGTAACAACAATAACTTAATTCCAAACAAGGTCTTTTGCCTCTTTCAGAGACAGAGGGAATCCAGGTGTGGCTGAGGAATAAGTCTGTGTCTCCCCAAAAAGTCACACATGCTACAGAGAAGTCACCACCAGTTCCTGTGTCCAGACTCACAAAAAACAAACTTAACAGTGTGACTGGAATCAGTGAAATCTCCTTGCACAGCCACAGATCGTCAGGTGCTGGTAGGCAGCAGGAACGTAAGTCATAAGATATGCAAAAAAATCCTCCGCACACTGACATAGACTTTACTATCGAAATTTAATGAAGGGAACAACGCGTTTCGCGTTTAGCGTCATCAGGTTCACCTCATCAGGTCTGACCTAAGCATTCTCAGGTGTGATTAAATGCTTGCTGGTCACATGACCAATTTCGTTTTTTCTTTTTTTCTCTGTTTGTCTAAGCAAGACTCAAAAAAATATACAAAAACAATACAATTACATACATCATGAAGTTGAAAAAGTATGCATCAACCATGGTATAAGTTAAAAACATAAGAATTTCAATGCATGAATAATAAAGTCTACTTACATAATCAATATTACACAAAGCGAGGATAAGAGGCAGAATTACTACAAAGTACTCTATCCTAGCTTGAGACCACCAGTACCTATATACAAATACCTTTATGCAGTGGAACCATATAACAGGACATGAATAATATACATTAATAATATATATCCTGCAAGTCTATCCTTTACTCACTACTCCTCAGGAAAGCTATACTGTCCTACGTAGGGAAAGTCGAGCCTGCACTATCTGCGCTTTCCCTTTATGTATCCTACTGGGCAAAAAAGAAGAAAAAACAGGTTAAAGAAAACAACTCAAATCCTGTGAATCATTCATTCCAAAAGGTTCAACAGTAGAACTGTCTACTGTCTGTTATGTTTTTAACTTATACCATGGTTGATGCCTACTTTTTCAACTTCATGATGTAATTGTATTGTTTTTGTATATTTTTTTGAGTCTTGCTTAGACAAACAGAGAAAAAAAGAAAAAACGAAATTGGTCATGTGACCAGCAAGCATTTAAACACACCTGAGAATGCTTAGGTCAGACCTGATGAGGTGAACCTGATGACGCTAAACGCGAAACGCGTTGTTCCCTTCATTAAATTTCAATAGTAGAGTCTATGTCAGTGTGCGGAGGATTTTTTTGCATATCTTAAAACTTAACAGTGTGTTCAGTCAGACCTCAACTATCCTTGTCTCTGTCATCTCCAGGAGAAAATGTTGCCGCTTACCTGCAGAGATTGGCCCTTGGATATGTGACAAAGTTGTAAATACCAGTGGTAAGGTTCATGAAGGCAGAGTTTAAGAATGAAAAGAAACATCTTACTCCAAGACAGGACGGTTAGCAGGCAAATAAGTGCCTTGAACAAGACTTGATTCAGTCAAAAACAGATGGGTTACTACTGCCTTGATCAGCTACATATAACTTACATCAGATTGTCTCCAAAGTCTTTGTAATGACAAGGTTTTAAAACTTGCATTGATTATTTACACTGAGAAACAATTTCACCATTGCTGTGCCAACATTTTTCAGAGGCATGGCACACAGCACCACAAGACAAGGAACTGGTTGCAAAAAACAGCAAATGAAAAAGATCTGTACTCTTCTCCACTGCAAACACACAATTATAGTCATTCCTATACCAAAAGGTGTGGCTGATGAATGGTAACTGTTGAAGGGATAGTTTGTATTTTTTTAAAGTGGAGTTATAAGTGGTACTTATTCATTGTCAATGTATAAAACAAAGCAGATGTCGGTTGGCACGCCCCCAATTCGGAGAAGCAGGCTGGAGTATGACATGAAAGCTGAGTAATGTACTGCTGTGGAGGGGTCAGCAATAAAACGTATTTAAAACACCTAAAAAAATCACTATCAGTTTAGGTGTTCACTATATTTAGAGTATTTTCACTGCTTTTCTCTTCCATCTGACAGACCTTTCTGACAGGGAAGCTGTTAACGGTTTCAGTTCCACATCTATGCTCTCATCAAAGCCACCAGACTCCATTGACAAATACAGTAATTTTAGCACACTGAACACAGGAGCTGCTGGTCTACTGCTGCTTCAATCCTTTAGTTAGTTTGTATTATTGTGTAACTTTGGTGAATCTGAACCCTGCTTTTTAAACACCAAAGTCTCACAATAAGACAAGAGAACTAACTGTTAAAGGCAGCGGTAGACCAGCAGCTTTTGTGTTCTGCAATGTTAAATCACTATTTTGGCAATGGAGTCTGGCTTTGAAGAGAGAGGTATAACAGCTTAATTTTCCCTTAGAAAACACTGCCCAACATAAAGGTAAAGGAATGAAAATATTATAAAAATAGCCTAAACTTGAAGTGATATTGATTGTTTTCGGTGGGGCTTTTTTAGGTGGCTAAAATACATTTTGTTGCTGACACCTCCTCAGCAATGCATTGCTTAGCCTTCATGTCAGACTCCAGCCTGCTTCTCCTAACTAGGGCCGTGCCGACTGACATCTACTGTATGTAATATAGTATCTATGAATAAGTACCCCATACAACCTCGCTTCAATAAGTAAAGAGCCAACTATAGGATTTATGCCCGGATTCTACTTTTGTAGACCAGCAGTGTCCTTTTTATAGATCCAGTCCATGTATTTTGTTTGCCATTGACTAATGACAACTTGAACACAAAAAACATATGACATACCCAAAACTACATGTTAAAGAGGAGCATTAGAAACATCTTTAATTTGATTGAGAAAAAACATAGGTTTCTCACCGAAGAATCTCAGGCCCAACAAACATGAGGACGTCCTGGATGAGCTTATAGAGGCAGGAGATGAGGAAGTAGGGTCCGAAGGTTAGGCACAGTGCCCACAACAGGGAAGGCTCCCTTGTGTTCTGGGGGTTTTTTACAATCAAGATTTCAGACTCTTCCACAGCTCGGCCTTCTTTGCCCTCATTGTGACTGACCCGCTTGGGGGAGTACAAAGTTTTCTGCTCTGTCCTGTGGAGACAAAAAAATTGAAAGGTAGACTGCTATAATTAAATATTCTATTCGTGGGATCTTTTTTTCTGGACAGTACACCTCTAAAAGTTGTAGTCCAAGATGAGACTCCCAAACAGCGTTGTAATTGTAAAAACAAATAAATGAAAATAATGAGTTATTACAGGTTGGTTGGTTAGTTGGCTACTACAGGTTAGTTGAGACTTCAGACTGAAGCTGATTGCCAAAACATCTGATCAATCCCTATATGTGCCAGGGAAAAGCTAAATATTACGGTTTCATGTACATCACATCTGTAGCAGGTGCAGTTTTAGCAGGAAGGAAAACATGAAAAGGTCAGCAGACTGTAGCTCCTTTAGGTGCAATTTATTGGCACATCTATAAATGACGTTTGAAGCTTATGCTTTTTTCCAGACTTCACTTTACATAGTGAAAGGAAAAAGGGATGATTCAATGATTATAGTGGTGTTGGTTGATATAGATACTGTCTCACTCACTGTGATTGGTAATGTCATCTTTTTTTTAAAGTCTTTTTTATTGAATTTTTTCAGAATATATCAGAGGTGCATGTTGAATGGTCATTGCAGGAATATGAGGTAAGCATAGATATATATCAACAGCAGCTAGCATCAGCGTATCCAAAGAAACATGGATTAAGTAAACAGAAATCAGGCTTAAAAAAAAAAAAAAAAAAAAAAAGAACAGAAAAGTTCACAAACATTACACAATGAAATGTACAAGATAATCCCTCCACAGTCACTGCCAGTGTACTAGACATAATATGAGCTCACTGTCACACCTAGAGTCTGTGCTAAGTGAGTGAATAATGTGCAGTGTAGTTAAGCTGCACTTAAGTTGTTGTGTTCTGAAAGCTAATACTTGTCCAGGGCTCGGTGGTGCTAGGCAACTGTTGAGATACTGCTAGAGAAGAAGAGAGAGGAGAAAGTTTGCAGTGTTGGTGTTGTAACATGAAACGTTATCATCTGTCCTGCGCTTCCTTTTAAGCGCTCTACTGCAAATACATAACAAAATTGGCGACGAGGATAGCCGTGGCTACTACTCCTTTGCTTCCCACTTTCCTACGATATCCAGGAGAACCTACAATGCCGTTTGAAACGTGGCTGAAAATGTTCGAAAACTACCTGCTTGTGATCGATGGGAAAGGAACCAAGTGGCCCGATGCCCGAAAGCGAGCTGTACTGCTGCACAGTGTCGGAACCGAAGCACACAGGATTTTCTTCACATTGACTGAAACAGGTACCACTTATGACCATGCTGTGGCCGCTCTGCGAGCACATTTCATGCAGAAGGTAAATGTCATTGTCTAGAGACATAAGTTGCACCAACAGGCATAGAGGCAGGATGAAACTATTGCACAGTACGTCTCCGCGCTCCATGAGATGCTTGCGTTGTGTGAGTTTGGAAATGCAGAGCAATATATGCTATGAGATCAAATAGTAGAAAAAACGTACAGTGGACGCATACGTGAACGTTTGCTACTGGAAGATAAACTGACTTGACTGACTGACTTTGGATAAGGCCATTCGGATTGCCAATCAAGTGGAATCGGTCGCACACAATGCCAGTGCGCTCTCGAGCTGTGAAATGACAGTGAAGGGGATGACTACGCTGTCAAAGAAGGAACAGAAACGCTCCAGCAGTGCAGGTAACCAAAGACAAGCTGAAGCAAAGTCTGTGTACACACACGCAAATGCTACAGATGTGACTCAGATAAACACGTGGCAAACTCCACAAAATGTCCTGCTACAAACAAAACATGCAAATCATGTAGAAAGACTGGACACTTTGCAAAAGTGTGCCGCTCAAGTCAAAAAAACGGAGGTGAGAGAGACTCATCCCAGAGTTGACAGTGCTACTTCTGAAAGATGCTGTCCCAGCAGAGAAGAAAATAATGTGCAATGTAGAAGTAGGCAAGTCACTGAAAAAAAAGGTGCCCACTTAAGATGATAGTGGATACAGGATCTTCAGTTTCACTGCTGCCAGCTCATGTCAGTGAGGATTCATTCAGTCACATACCGCTGAACCAAACAGATGTTCCTCTGGTGACATACTCAAGACAGAGGATTCCAGTGCTGGGCCGACTAGATACACATGCATTTCATGATGGATGTTCTGCCCCGGCCTCCTTCTACATTGTGGAGTCAGGTTCACTGCTGCTGGGGTTGGACTTGATTGAGGCTCTGGAAATGGTCATTGTGGGAAACAAGGTGATACTCAGAGCAGAACAGGCAGTCCGGGGGCTAACAGTACCTTCCCCTACCACAGCTTTGCATCCACCTGCAACTACAGCTCTGCCTCCTCCTCCTTCTGCTACAACTCCTCCTACCACACCTCCAGCTCCTCCTGCAACTATAACACCACCTCCACCTGCGACTACAGCTCAGCCTCCACCTATGGGCTGTGTGAAAAACTTTGTGCATAAAGTCAGAGTGAGAGATGATGTGACGCCTGTGCAGCAGAAATTGAGGAGGTTGCCCTTCGTTGTCAGAGATGCTGTTTCTGCAGAGTTAAAGCGTCTACTGGATGTTGACATCATCGAGAAGACTGACGCGTCTCCCTGGGTGTCGCCAATTGCGGTGACTCAATGGAAGAACTCAGCTAGAATACGGATGTGCACAGACCTCAGACCCTCACTACCCCATTCCACACATGGAGGAAATGCCTACCATCAGGTTCCTCTGCATTACCCATGAAGGGCTCTTAAGGTACAAGCGAGTGTGCTATGGGCTAGCATCAGCGCCTGCTGCATTTCAGAAAATGATGTCCATAGTGCTGCAAGACCTACCTGGCCTTCTAGCATATCTCGAGGACATCATTGTCTCCTCATCTTGCCGTGCTGATCATGAGACATGCCTGAAAACTGTTCTCTACAGGCTACAGGAAGCTGGCCTACTCCTGAATACAAATAATGCAAATTCTACCAGGACAAGCTGACTTACCTGGGCCACATCATAAGTAAGTGTATCCGGGATGAAAATCTATTTAATCCAAGGAGGACGTCCGTTATTTAACGGTTATTTTATGTTATGTTATGTTCATTATTAATATAACAAAGTCCGCCATATGAGTGCGTAAGTTCCGGTCACGTAGTGTTGCGTCGTCACGTACGTACCTGGGAGGCCGCGGCTGTCCAATTGCGTCGCTCGTAGCGCCTGTTACAAGCTGTCTGCTCCGTCTCTCATTCAGAAGGTGAGGGGAAGCATGCGGAGCAGCTGCTACAGGTCGGTCGCTATAAACAAATACTATTTTCACTCATAAACTCTTGGTTATATCATTCTAAATGCCGCCGTTACATCATTCAACCCTTTTAGACATCAACCAGCGCCGGGGAGGGATAAGTTGGTCATATGGTGCGTCGGATATATTCTGGAATTGGTGAGTCTGCCTGTTTGTTGTTAGCGTTAGCGTTAGCATTAGCATTAGCACATGTCAATGCATTTATATGGACTGGCTACGGCACACCTAGCTTCTAAATGCTAATGTTGGCTTTTGAATCCATAGTAATGAGTGTCATGAGATTGATGTGCCACTACAGCACAATTATAGAATGTTTACTTTGATTTGTGAATAATTTTGTGAATGTTGACATGTTATTTAAGAAATGAGTGACACTAATTTGTGAAGATTTGTCATGCTTATTTATGAAGTGGATTGATGTTAAGGTGTTTATACCAAATGCACTTTATTGAGAGATGGTTATTCTATTGTTTCTCATGAAGTATTGAATTATGTATTAATTATGGTGTACACTGAATATAACTAGTTAGTGAAATGTTTTATTGAAATATGGTCCTGTTTACATTATACAGGCCAGGTGCTTGTACAGACGCAGAATCGAATCGATGGCGAGCTAAGACACTGGCCTCGGAGCCGAGCAGTCCCAGTTAAGAGCTCTCCTGGTCTGGTAGGAGGCTCTGGCAGCCTTGTTCCCCCCTCACCTTCTCTTACATCCACACACACATACCACTCGCATTTTGAGGCTTCTAGCCCATGGACAGTTGACATATTGGACTCTACCTTTGCGGCGCACATGCTGGACTGTTTTTGAGCGCCTCATCCTCTATGAACTCTGTGCCTTTGCGATACGCAATATTGTGTGTGGAACTGCTGCCATATTGGCTACCACTGAGACTGGTTTTGATTTGAATGTTGTTGATGCATCAGACGTGTCAAGTGCACTTTTCTATTTAATTCATGTACTCTGCAGACTGTAAATATTGGGGTCACTGTATGTATTGTCATGCATTAATATATGGTACCAACCGCATCTGAAGTGCTGTTTGTTGTGTTTTATTGTACCACTACCTCTAAGAATCGAACCTGTCTTCTGTAGACCTAGGCCCAAAAGCTAGCTTAATACTAATATAATAATCATACCATATCATCATAATTTAGCCTGTGTACTGGCTACATAAGGATGGTCTGCTGCCAAATAATGATCACATTGCAGCTATTTGTGATGCTCCATCACCGAGCCATGCTGCGTCCCTCAGGTCCTTCCTGGGCCTGACATTGTGGTACTCCAAGTTCATACAAAACTATGCAACCGTTGTGGAGCTAATTAGAAATGTGCTGCATGACACTACATTCACATGGACTTCACAGAACAGCTTCCATGAAGTCAAACTGCTTATTACTGACTGTCCAGCACTTGCCATGTTTGACCCCTCACTGCCCGCAGCAGACTGCCTTTCACGATTGCCACTGCCATGTGAAGAGGATGGCTCCCCAGACATGGAACCAGAGATTGTGGCTGCCATTTCCGCCCTTTTAACTGCCATTCCCATGTCTGACTTCACAGATGTCTGCTCTTTCTGCCCAGAGCTAAGCAAGCTGCGCACCTACATGACTAAAGGGTGGCCTGCATCATCCAAAAGCCTGCCGGCAGACATGATACCTTAGGTGTGAAATGAACTGTCAGTGTACAACTCACTGATTTTGAGAGGGACTCACAAAATAGTGGTGCCAGTAAAGCTACGTTCCCACATGATACACCTAGCACACGAGAGCCACCAAAGCATAATACGTACAAAACAGAGACTCAGAGACTTGTATTGGTGGCCTAAGATGGACGTGTTGGTAGAGTCTGTCATTGCTACCTGTGTGTCCTGTCAGCTGAATGACAAGACAACAAGAACTGCCCCTGCACCCATGACACCAGTCCCTTTGCCTGATGGACCCTGGCAAAAGCTTGCTGTCGACATTGCTGGCCCATTTGAGACTGGCCCTGCTGACTGCAATTTCTCTATTACCATGGTGGACTACTATTCAAAGTGGCCAGAGTTGTGTTTTGCTCCACAGTGCACCACTGCTACAGTGATAAGCTTCATGAGATCTGTATTCAGCCAAAAAGGAAACCCCATGGCTGTGGTAACAGACAATGGTCCAAAGCTAACATCCTAAGAACCCTTCTCTTTCCTTGAGAAACGAGATATCCAACACATCAGGACTACAATCAGCTTTGAGTTAGCTGTTAACTGATGCTGACTACTATTTATTTAAAAAAACAATTGGGGGCATTTTTGCCTTTGTGAGAATAGTTGAGGACAGACAGGATGGGTGGGAGGGAGAGAGAGAGGGGGATGACATGCAGAAAAGGGCCACAGGTCTCAATGGAACCAGGGCCCTATTTCAGAAAGCAGGATTTGTGAAAACTCTGAGTATGCTGAGCCTGAGATGAGGGAAACTCTGACTTTTCTGTTTCACAAAGCCAGTTCAGCGTAACCCTGAGTCAGTTACAGTCGCGGTTCTAGGGGCAGGGCCACAGGGGCATTGGCCCCATCTGAAATCTAATTGGCCCCCTGAAGTGCCCCTGTCCTGTCACTCATCTGTTGTTTTGTCCGAGAATGACAATCAGCTTATTGGTGCAATTCTGTGCCCAACAACTGGTGGCAGTAGTGCGCAAAATAGGCACGTCCACTGTCAATAAAGCTGACAGAAGACGATAATTTGAAAGAACTCAGGTTCACACTCCAACGATACCACAGCGATAGGTGGGCTGGAGACAACATGGAGAACCGCCCGATGGCAGTCAACGTTTTGTAGAGATTGTTGGTAAGTCACAAATCCCCAGGGTTGTCACTAATGTTTGAAAGAACATTAATTGCTGCCGTCACTCAGTCTGACAAACATTAAATTAAGAAGCAGCAGTAAGCTATTAGTTAGCATTAGCTTTCGCTAATACATGTAATGCTAATCAATGTGCGTTACTTCTTCATAATTTGCATTTTTGTGTTAACATTAACCATAATGTTTGGTAGCAATTCAGAGTATGAAAAGAAAGGGTCAGTCTCAGACGGGTATTCAGCGGTTTTTGGCCAAAAGAACCTGTCTACCAGCCGCTAAAAAAATGAGCAGGGAGAGTGTGATAGAGGATGGTCGACCAGAGGCTGGTCACGGTCAAGAGCAGGGCAGCTCCAATCCCTCTTCACCAGGTCAGACATCATCTAGGCGCAGCAACAACAGTAACTCTGTAATGTATGATATGGCTGGTATTGTTATGAAATGGCACAGAAGTTAAGTAATTGTCATACTGTAAAACCCAATTGACATTGGCGCTAAATGTTTGGAGATTTTCTGCTTGAGGAGTAACTTTAGCAATTAGCTGGTAACTTGAATGTTAAAACTCATAACACACTTGTTTGTACCAATTTACTAGTAATTGTAATTGTAAAAGTGCTATTGTGAGAATCTCCGCCACATTTTCGTTAGTGGGCACTCTATATTTTACCTCTGTTTGTTTGTGACTATTGTGAATAAAAATGGTGAAAACAGTAAGTCAATGTATCCTAAATTAAAGGAACAGTGTATCAAAGCGCAGATCCACCTTACTTGACCACAACAAAGTTTGTACGAATGTAGGCATTGCCTTGACATTCATCTATAGCTGGATCTCTGTCTCACTGTAGATTAGACTACTTGCACATTGTGTAATTCCATGTTGTGTTTAGTCATGAAATTGTAATATTCCAATATTACATTAAATAAATAGGATTTACAATTTCATATGTTTAGCAAAAAATTTTGGACACTGCTGAGTGAACGATAATTTCAGTATCCCGAATACTTGAATTCTTGCACCTCACCTCTACCAGAGCTCACCTTGATATTTCAAGGTTTCAAGTCTTTTTCCTAATTTTTAATTAAATAGTTGTGGTCTGATAGTTAGACAACATGGTTTCAGCTGCATACAAGCTTGGAGAATGTGACACATATTTGTGTTTTAGCTACAAACTTGGGGGGCTGGTTCTGAAAACAACCAGAGTGAAATTGTTGCAGGTGACGTTTACCAACAGTCTGCAGAACCACCAGAGTCACCAAACAGTGCTACTCCTGTAGGATCTGATGGTAAGGAGCTATCTGGGAAGGTAATTACTGCTTGTGTATGTCATTGTGAGAGTAGGCTTATGTTTTGCTGATGTAATTTTTCATTTGCTGCTTTCAGATATCTTCCAGTGCAGTGCACAGGGTCCTTTGCAGCAGTCAAAGAGTTATTCTGCTCCAGTAGGACCTGATGGTATGCACATGTTTTCATTCTGTAAATGTTCTGTAAATTTCAGTAAACTATGCACTCATTAACAATCATTTACTGTTTCTGAATTCCAGTTGTTGAAAGTTAAGGGGCATTAACAATTAAGTAACTTCAACTTTTATTTAATTTGCTTCTCTCGAGACATTTCCCAGTCTAGAGCAGGGGGTCCTGTGCAGCCTGTCCTTAAGCTCTTTCCCAAGACGCAGCATGGAAACCGGAAAAGGGCATTCATCGACTCCTGGTACAGAGACTGTTTAAAATTGAAAACGAGTTTTACTGTCTACACTTTTTTAAATTTAAAGTGTTTGAAAAAGGTGTGACACGTGAAATGCATGTATACCTTATCATAAATTTGACTGTGTGCATGCATGTTGGACAAATACTTGGCCCCTCTGTGAGAAATGTGGCCCCTGGATGGCCCCTTACTTTGAAAAATCCTAGATCCGCCACTGGTCAGTTACTATGGCAACATACTCTGTGAGGCAAACCTGCTAGCTCACAGGTTTGCTTCAACACAAGATACAGAGCTTCCGCTCGAACTACTTCCTGTTACCAACCTTTAAAAATAAGAGCATGATGCAATATATTGAATACCACCACAAAAGTTGTGGACGTTGAGGCACAAATTATTCAGGGACTGTTGCGTTAGGAGGTGGTGATTAGACCCCTTTTGGCTGTCTCATCGTTCCCGGAGGAGTGTCTATATGAAAGATATGATTTTACCTCACACTAATTATTCATCTTAACAATGTGTTCCACCCAGATATATCAAATATTAAACATTGTGGATTTACATTATCATTGGAGCAAATTTTATGCATTGCCCTTTGATTCTTCGGCAGCGGCAGTTTTCTTTATAACATCAGAGATACTAAACACAAGAAGAAAACTGTCTTTGGCTCTGAGAAGACTTCTGCCACTTTTTGTGGTTTTCCATGGGCATAAATCAGAAAGGATCATCAAAGAGGAATTCCACAGAACTGCAGGTTTGTCACTGTTAATAACAAATTAATCTATGCGGATACATTATGCAATGATTTATGAATAATTTTCATATTCAAAAATTCTGCGGTGTAATTGGCTGCAGCATATATGGACTCACATCTCCATCATAGCTCCATCTGAATAAAGGAGATACGTGAATAGGAAGTCATTTCACAGCAGTTCAGCAATTCCATAAACCTAAGCCTAATATTGCAAGAATGACAAACGTATAAGCAAAATTTTTACCAGTCTGTACAATATTTTTATGTTTGAGTTGCTGTCAAGTGCTTTTGGGCTCCATCAGATTACAGATGAATAAGAGGATATAGCAGATTATATTAAAATATATGAACACTGTTAAGGTATAAAAATGTTTCTATATTTTCTGTATATTAGACACATTACATAACATCACATTATCCATTAACACACTGCAATCTTTTCCCATCACACCTCACGCGTTCAGCTGCAGCTGCTGTAATCGATTTTTTCATGTCTTCATTTGTGGTCATTAAAATCTCTGATTCGGTTGAGATGAAATATGTGGCTCCACTCCACTTTCTGCCACTGAAAAGTATGTTATCTACACTCCACTGATGATAGCTTTTGGTGCTCACCATGAACGCAACTCCCTCAGGCTGAACATACTCAGAGTTGATTGAGCTAATTCTGATCAGCTGTTCTGGAACCAAAAACTCAGTGTTTCCCAGCTCAGGCTCAGTCAACTCAGAGATCAGGATTAGGTTCAGGCTTTGTTGAGTGTGCTTTCTGAAATAGCAGTCGGAGCCTAATTGTTGTTGCAATTTAAGCAATAAAAATGTTGATTTATCTAAAAAGTAAACAGATTAGATGTTTATTTAAGAGACCTGTCTTATTTTCTCTTTTGCATATTTACTATTGCTTTTGATAAAGCAAAAGTATTTCTTATCAGTTTACTGGATTAATTGATGGATTCATTGGTAAAATTCTCCATTATTAAAATAATCGATAGCTGCAGCCTTAGTGGCATATTAAATCTCAAAATAACTGATAACATCTATCATTTAGATATATTTACCTAATGCCTCTCACATTAATGGCATGCAGATTAGCTTAGTGAAACCAACAACACTCAAATTCTGTTTTTGGCCAGGATGCTTAGAGCAGAGGCTCCACTGTCTGCTCGATCACTGTCACTATTCCCTGGACCACATGGGGAATTGCAAATTCAATGAAAACTGGCCATTTAAATAATATTTTACGGCATGGCTAAAACCGTTACAAGGCGATGTCTACAAAGCTCAGTGTATTTTCTCAAATTCGGCATGATGGCAGTCAAAGCAGTGGAATCCCACACAGAGTGACACGAGACAACTCTGTCAACCAACTGATCTATGGCTAAGCCCCGCCCTCAAACACGATGAGCCAATCACAGTACGTCTAGCCATTCCAATACACTCGGGACATTCTCTGCCTGGACATCCATTGAAATGCATTACAAAAAGTCAGTTTCATTCGGTTTTATGAGCTTTTTCTGAGATCTGAAGGCTGGGCGACGGGGTGTTTTTTTCCCCCTTTCCTAAACCACATCTCAACCGAGAAAAGTGTCTCCTTTGGATAAAGTTGTGCAGTAGACCACAACATCAACTAAATGTGAATAAGATTAACAAGGATGTCTACATCTGTTCTAAGGTAAGTCAACAACAGAGAGACACTTTTGGTAAAGATGGTAAAAAGGCCGTTATCCTTTTCTCATATTCTTAGCCAAAAACCTTAACTTCAGTGAAGCAATGCTGATCCTTTATCTTGTTGTCTTTGATGGCAATGGCAACGAGATGCGGTTTATCACGCTTACACTGGGACCTGTAAATTTTTGCTTGTAATTTAAGCTCTTCATCGACCTTCTCAACAATAAAATGATTAAAATATCCTTCCAATGTGTAGTTTAGGCCCTTTTGGTTACTTTTGGGTACTGTGACACCTGCCATAGCGCCCGGTCACTGAATGTTGATATTTTGTCCAAGTGAGTGGATAGGCCAATTCTGCAATCGTACCTTTAATACAGAACAGCGAGGCGGCATAACAGTGACAACATTATATTGTCTTGCAGTTGTCGTTCCCTGCTGTACTGAGCTTCTGACCTTTTGACTTTTTGGCACTCTGTGTTCCAGCGGCGCACCAGTTTTGGAACCACTTTGTGGGAGCGGTCTTCAGAGTTCAAAGACCACAGGTCCTTTTCCTCCAGTGGGCGCTTGTAGCCTGTCATCATCATCCTGGTGGAGACAAGAGGGGAGGGAGGAGCAGGAGAGAAGCATTTAGGTCCACTGATACTATACAAGATTCAGAAGTGCAACCTGAGACACACGTGACACAGGAGGGTGATGACTGGCAAATAGAACAGAATATCAGGAGGCCTGAGGGTTACACATGCTTATGTAGTGTGGTGCTCAGTGTACTCCTCTCTATCCTGTTTGAAAAGAGTTTTTTAAAAAGAGGTGGACGCTTGGAAACTTGGCCTGCTACAAACATTTAGAAAGAAGTCAGAACTCACTTTCAGATGAACACCGTGGATCTCATCACTATGTCCTTGTCTTGCAGGCACTTTTTCTAAAACCGTGACAACACTTCTGCGATGTAGGTGTGTGTAACACGGAAACATTGGTCAACTGACCATTACTGCTTTTAGTTAGATTTTTTCTCCATCTGTTTTTTCCCCACAGAAGAATAAGACACAGAACAACTTCATTTTTTATTTTTAACTGTCTTTGTAAAAAAAAAAAAGAAGAAAACCAAAGAGCAGATTCAAAAAAATGTGAAGAGGTAGGCCATCCCAAATGTTCAAGTCAAGGAGGACAAAGCACTAACATTTCACATGTTGGCACACATTGCAAAAGAAAAATATGCTTAGGTGTTTCAGCACAAAGTCTTCTGAGCACTTGAAGTATAAAGATTTTATTCAGTCACACAGCTAAGAGTTGGACCTAATTATTAAAAAGTCGGGACAGGGGCAATTAAAGACTGGGTAAGTTGTGAATTGTTCAAAAAACACCTGTTTGGAACATTTCACAAGTGAACAGTGGGGTGGGGGCTTGATACAGCATAGTATAGCAATATCACACTGTTATACAGTGCCAAGAATCAATTTTTATGCTATAAATTATTCATATTACAAATACAAATTAAACTTTAGGTAGCCTACATGAATAAAATAATC